TCTATATGTGAGCACATGCCTGTGTGTGTGTCTGCATGTGTGTGTATCTGTGTGTGTCTGTATTTGTGTGTGTGTGTATCTACGTGTGTGTGTGTATCTACATATGTGTGTATCTGTGTGTGTCTGTATTTGTGTGTGTGTGTGTGTGTCTACATGTGTGTGTCTACATGTGTGTGTATCTGTGTGTGTCTGTATTAGTGTGTGTGTCTATTTGTGTGCGTGTGTGTGTGGGTGTGAGTGTATGAGACTGTGTGTCTGTGTGCGTCTGTATATGTGTTTGTGTGAGTGCATGTGGCTGTGTGTTTGCATGTGTGTCTCTATGCGTATGTGTGTATGTATGTGTATATACTTGCTGTTAAGTCTATGCAAACATTACCTTTGTAAAGACCTTATCTACGCCACATTGTTCTCCTTTCCAGCATCTCCAAGCTTCCCTCAGTGCAGAACAAACCAGAGCTTGCCGAAGAGACACCATTACCTGCCTGTTGTCGTATTTGTGACCTTTGGCATCGTGTTAGTGAGCTTGGTGATATATTTCACAAAAGGTGACTGTCTCTGCACTCTGTAATTCCAATGTTGGCTGAGCTATTGTGGGAACAAGTCTGTGTCCCTGCAGCAACTCAAAAAAACGCGATATGTCAGTGAATTCATGAATGTGTGGCGAAACATAACCTTTTGTTGTCTCTTGCAGTCAGTAAATTCGCTCTCCAGAGAACCAGGTCAAAGAAACCAGTGAGCAAGGAGGGTGAATGAATGAATACAACATCCCATCACAAGCAACGCTGCACCTTCCTCCGATGACTGTCACGTCACTTCTGCTGCGTCTTTGAAAATATTATAAACTCAAAACCAACCAAGATAGGGTCCCTTACCATGCTGCATCCTTTTGTTGAACCACACATTCTCCTCATTTCAACTGTTTCTTTCCTGCACGTTGTCGCCCACAAAACAGTATCCCTCCAGTTATTAAAGGGTGAAATCACCAGAGGACTGCTTTCCTTTCGGGGGACAGCACTGGGTATGGTTCAAGCTGAGGATCATCACATCTCAGGCGAGTGAGAAAGACAGCCCTTCACGGCTGTATCAGCGAGTGTGGGAATTGAACCCATGCTGTTTGGTATCACAGTGCTTCACAAGCTAGCCACACAACATGCTCAGCTAACCAATCCTGACTGTGCTTGCTACATGTATCCCAACTGATGCTGCATCCCTTAACCTGCTGCACTTACCCTCACTCAAACTCAGTCCTTTACACTACTATACACTTATCCCAACTGATGCTGCATCCCTTAACCTGCTGCACTTACCTTCACTCAAACTCTTTACACTTTACACTACGATGCAGTTATCCCAACCGATCCCACTTATCCCACTTTCCCGAACATCTGCCTGGACTGCTTTTGCCCCTTTTCCATTGCTGCATCGATACCTCCCCTTGTACAGAAATGGGACAAGCTCCAGGGGCTTTTGAAGGTGCAAGTGAAAGATGACAGCACCATGTCTCCAAAATCTGGAGAAAGCTTTGCTCCACAGTGCAGTTAATCTCCATGTGATCACCAGTAAACAGACAGGAATGCTCACATCAGTATTAATTAATGAGGAACCAAAGACAGGGGAAGATGAGGACAAGGACATTTGGAGATTTGGCTCCTGCAGTGACTGTGGGCCGGTGTGTTCCACAATCATCTGAATTCCTGCTGAAATCTTTCCCTCTGTCCCTGAACTGCAAAGCCATCAAATAGTCACCCATCTCTTGTACAGTGAAGCTCACTGAGGAGTGCGGTTGGACACAATAATGGAGTTTGGAAGGGAGATGGCTAACAAAATCAGGGCCGCAAGGAGGCCGGAGATGTAGCCCAATCGAGAAGCCAGCAATAATCATTGAGAGGGAAGGCCAAAAAATAGAAACTGGTTGACCCGAAGGTTTTAACCGTTGGGGGTGGGAATGGACAGAAACTTGCTGCTTAATCCTGCTGTTGCTCGTGGCCAGTTCAGGACAAATGCAATCGTGGCAAACCTCAAACAACAATTTACGCCACAGACGGGTACTGCACGGGCAAACCGATTGGCATTGTACGTGAATTTCAGTTCCGCGGTGTGATGCCAGGCACAGATGTGTCACCTTCGGCTAATCGAATCCAGCATTCGAATCAGGCAGGTCGTGCCAGGCACACAGCACTGGACTGTACTCGCACAGCCTACGCTTCGCAAAACCCGAAACAACACGCTGTTGGTTGGAGGCGTTGCAGAACAACCCTGAGGGCACAGATGGCAACAACAACCAGCAATAAATCATAAACTCATAACATAGCTGGTTCATGCTTGCTGAGAGTAATATATATTTACAAGTAGGGACCTATTCGTGTCAAATGATTGAACTGTGTGCAAGTCCTGCATTTTATTTCCAAAGTAAGTGGGCACTTGGCAGCAGCGGGGGGGACGGCAGAACTGCCCTCGGTATCCGTTGCTTTCCTCGAGATAAGATTTTGGCCAATCGGAAACCACACGCCTTCCAGCCAGCCCTCCAGGATAAATTAACGCGGTCCTCTGTAACGTGGTAGTCTTGCATTAGTGCTGATGATGATGTTTGGTCACAACCTTTTCAAAGGGCTTACAATAGGGTTAGAAATGGAGCACAGAGTGAGCGAGAAAAGGACAAAGGTGTGGACAAGAAGCTAGAATGTTGCATCAGAGATAAAACAGCAAAGGGTCAACAGATGGACACTGTAGGTGACATGACATTATAGATTGAATCACCTCTGTCTCCTTCAAATCGCCTCCACTGCTTTTTCGGATTTTGCTGCCTTTTGAAAGGCAGCTGTGTCCCAGTCTCTGTTGCTCTGAGTTGACTACAAGGCAGTGTATGCCTGGATCACATAAGCCCGGGTTACAAAGATACCTTACAGCTGTGGCCCGATCCACGCTTTCGGTATTTCGACTGTCCCTGTCCTCTCCCAATTCAAATCTCTTCTCCCCAGGGAGACCAGGTTCAGCATTTTCATCAGTTTCAATGTCACTAGTGGATGAACCGATGATGCATCAGCTGTTCTAACATAGGGAGCAATTTCAAAATGTTCTCCATGTTTTCAGCTCCTGCCATGGTCTCATCTCTCGGTAAACTCTGTCACCTCCTCCAGCCCCTACACCCCCTCCCAATCTCTGTCAC